AGGGACAGTTCACCCAAAATGATTTTACTCAATCTCATGTCCATCTGAATTTGTGTTTTCCAAAATCATGAAAAAGTACAGTGTTTTATATTGTCACACTCCAAAAAAGACAAAATTCATCATAAAAGTGAGTTTCCTCAGTGCTTGACTTAAACTTCAGTCTATTTTTTGCAAAATGCCATCAAAATATAGTGCATAAATCATATAGACTACTTTTATCATGGAAGAAAGAAAATAATACATGGTCCAAGTGGCTCAGAGGTAAGTAAATGATGACAACATTTTCATTTTTGGGTGAATTGTTTCGTTAAATGTGAGTCAAAGTGGAAATATTACTAATAGAAGTAAACAGAAGTGCTTAGTGACAGCTGAACATAGTATGAAATAATATTCATCTAAATAAGCCCGTAGCACTTTTCCCAAAATTGTATTTGACTTCTATGCCTCATATCCAGTACAAACAATGTATGCTGTTATATGAGAGTTCCTCTTTTACTCTCAAATTAAAGTCAACCCCATTCTCTGGTGAACTGGCATTTGCATATTAATAACATAATGCAGATCATTTTTAAAGCTGTTTCCTTGAATGACTTTCCTCCAATAAGTCATGTTTTTAGAAACTTGCAGTGTTCTACATATAAACTTTTTTATTATTTTTCATAACACAGAAACAGGAACATAGGCTTTATTTTGAATCAGAATGGTACCTTCAGAAGATATTGCAGCAAATACACATTATTGCATAATTTTTATTGCGTAAAACGTAGTGTGTTCAAATAGACTGCAGACAAGACAGAAGTGGAAGATTAATGACTTTTTCTGGTAATTATACCGTCAGGAAAATGTTTAGTAAAAACCAGCCTTTAGATTAGTTCCTCATTGGTGTTTTTCGGTCACGTGAAATGTGAAATAATATCATGTGTGCTATCATGTAAAACAAAAGGAATGTGTTCTCACAATGAACTTTCTGTTCGTTTAATGTTGGAGCAGAAGTTGTGTAAAAGGCAGAATGGGAACACATCCTGAAACTCATCCAGTCAACTGTGTCACTGCTGCATACCAGAGATTCCCAACGCTTCCTCCTCCTTGTTACTTCCACAAAAGAGCGAGCGGGATAATCACAGTTGAACTGCGAGGGCACTTGAGCAGGAAGACCTCCACAGCACAGAACATCTGTGTCCATACAAAACAGGACGGAAGTGATGTCTTTACCACACAAGAACTCCTTTATAGTGCAGAGAATGAAGCCAGCAAAGCATTGACCTCAACAGATCCGCAGCCCGTTCAGAAATCCCCAAAGTGCCTCACATTTGGGTTCTGATTATGAAGTTTTCGTATGGATCCTTGTGACATTTGCTTGATGTTTGTAGCAGTGGAGTTTGCGTTTATATTTGAGAAATCAATCCAATTCAGTCCAGTTCTCACTGTACAAAGATTTTTTCATACCTGATATTTTGCGTAGTGGAATTTTATTTTACCTAGTTCATATACTGTATTCCATCCCTTTTACTGAATCTAGCATACATGCATGATAAACACAACACTTTCACCACTATTATGACCAAAAATATCTTTATTGCATCCGTAAGAACCAAAAAAATGCAAAAGCATATTTTGGGGCTTTTTTGTTTTTGATTGTGGTGAATATTAAAAAGTCAAGTAACCTAATATCAGTCTTCGGCTTTAATTTCTAGATCTGTGAAATCTCAACGAATCTATATTTAAATTTTGCATATAAAAGCTATTTCCAAAGGTTTGACTTTCTTTCACTGAATCAAGTATTTTGCAACTTCATTGTAGTAAATATAGACTGCTGTAAACTTTGTTTATTTTGAATCAGAATGGTACATTGTAGCCTCCTTTATTCCTGTATTCTTCTATTGCATCAAACAATTTTGTACTAAATTTATTAAAACTTATGATTGACTGTGTTTACATGCTTCTCAGGACTGCAGAGAAAGACACTTTCCCGGTGATTATACCTTCAGGAAAGGGTTGTGAGTAAAAGCCAACCTTCATATTAGTTCCTCATTAAGGTGCTGTTTGGTTCTTGTTCGGCATGAGGAGTGGGAATTTATTGTCAAAATTTAAGTCACTTGCTTAAGGGTAGCGGGGCAGACATTTTGAATATTGCAGATTTAGCCACCAATTACTAGGCAACCCATGCTCTTCATGCATGCAAATATAGCCGCGTTTCCATTGCCCTTCAAATTGCGCAAATTGAAAATACGCACAACGGAAACACGTCAATTGCGCAAAAACTCTCGTTTGTCGCGAAAAAGTTTTTCCGCTCGCATGAGGTGTTTTTTCAGGCAATTCGAAAAAGGAATATTTCGCAAAACTGCAATGGAAACAGTTTTTGCGCATTAACAGTCACCTGACTTAGAAGACGCGGTGCGTTTGGACGGAATACGAGACAGAGTTCTTTATTAAATTCATAAAAGAAAAAAGAATTAAAGGAATACTGGATTTTAAACCTCAAAGAAATGACAGAATCAAGACCTCGAAGCAGAAACACCTCATGTGTGCCGTTCACAGTATAAGGCTCTTTCCTTGCCATTAATGCTTGGATAACACACATACGTCTCCTTCCATTAATAATAATTATGTCTTGCCGTGGCTCTGATATATGTAAACCTACCGACGTCCGTTGCCATAATTTTTTTATCGTGAGAGTAAAAAATTACGTTTTAGTCGCATAACATCGGTTAATGGAAACGCTGTCATTTCGCAATCGTTTTTAATCAATATTTAGAAAAAATCGCAAAAGATTTGCGCAAATCTGTAATGGAAACGCGCTTATGATAGATTTTTACCTAGAAATAAATAATTCCTTGTGATCCTCTTGAAATTGTTGTAGACCTACTGTAGATGTTCAATAAAACAAGCATGATTCACCATGCACTGAATATCAGAGATAAAACGAAGTGCTTTCGGGTCTGTCGTACATCTGCACATATCAAGCTCTCACAAAAGGGTTCGGCACATAGAAATGTTCAGCACTCGCCCTTCGGCCTCTTGTGCCGCATTCACTTCCTTTAGATTCTCAAAGCGTCCTCTCCGTCAGCTTTGCTCCTAGGTCAGAGCTTCCGGCCCCTGTGGACCCACTTTATGCTGACAACTGCTTTCTGAAGTGGAAGAGACTGCACTGCAGATATGGATCACAGCGCTGCCAGATACTCATCCTAGTACTGAAAAACATGAGCAGTGTTGCATTTGAGCTGAGGAGATTCAGAGATCCTGTACACTAGAGTTGGAGGGAGAAATCAATGCATTAAGACATCTCCTGCTTAAAGGATTCTTATTGAAAAGCATATGCAAAACCAAACTTATTCTATTGGTGAATCAGAATAGATATGGTTTATATTTTACGTTTTTAGTTTTGCAATCTTTTCTAAATGTGAGCATGAGCCATCTTAACTTGACAGAGATTTGCACCCATGCACTTTTTTTTAAATGTTTTAAGAAATTTCCCAAAAAATTCCCAACACCTCTGTAAACACGTCCAGATTTATCAGAGCTACGACATTGCTTTCCTGTTTTGCATTTGTTGCAGCTTGTGTTTTGTGTTTGTTCTTGGAGATTAGACTTGGAATTACTCTTTTTAATATAAGGGTTGAAGAACTTGTAAAAGCAAGCTAGTACCTTCTCTTTTGGACAGCATTAATTAATAGTGATCACTGAAATTAATGAATGATTGAATGAAAAAATGAATGATTTACTGAAATTCAAGGGTTAGTTCACCCCAAAATTTAAATTATCCCATAATTTACATACCCTCAAGCCATCCTAGGTGTATGTGACTTTCATCTTTCAGCCAAACACAATCAGAGTTATATTTAAAAAAAATATCCTGGCTCTGCCAAGCTTTATAATGGGAGTGAATAGTTTTTGAAGACCAAAAAAGCACATCAATACATCATAAAAGTAATCCATACGACTCCAGGTGGTTAATAAAGGCCTTCTGAAGCGAAGTGATGCGTTTTTAGTAATAAAAATATCCATATTTATAACTTCTGAAGCGAAGCGATGCGTTTTTGTAAGAAAAATATCTTACATCAAATACATCACTACAAATGTAAATGGGCCTAATGGGCCTAGACTGGAAACATTTTTACATTTCAACACTGAGATTGCATTAAGAAAACCACATAATGGATATAAACATGGTAAAATGTGTTCAAAGTAGCTGAGAGTACAACACTAATTGCTGAAAGCAAAAGCAAAATTTTGTTTAAAATTTTGAATAGCATTAAAACATCCGCATACAGGTTTGAAACGACATGAGGGCGACTAAATAATGAAATTATTTTCATTTAAGGATGGTGTATTCATGTAAAACACTGTATAAGCAAAGCTAAATTACAGGTTGTTTAACTTCCTCCTCAGTCTTAATGAGTGCTGCAGTGTGGAGAAGGTTTGGGCGGCTCTTTGACAGTCTTGTTCATCTCATAACTTATAATCAGGTGACCAGGCGTCCCGGTTTTCTTCACAAGGTGTGTCCCAAAGTCCCAACACTTCACTAACAAATGTAAATGTGTGCCTGGTTTATCAGTTGAACTCATGGGAGAGAAATTGTGTTTCTGGAATCATTCCTCAATAAGAAAAACAGAGGAAGCAATTTAACAACATCATATTACACATTTCACCTGTTTTTCATTGTTTTGCATTTGATTCTGAAATGCTACTAGTCAGTAGTCAAATCACCTTTATTTCTATAGTACCTTTTACAATACAGATTGTTTCAAAGCAGCTTTACAGTGATAACAGGAAAATAATGCAACAAAGTTTGTTTCTAGAAGAAAATAGCGTCACAGTCCAGCTTAAGTAAGTTCGGTGATGGTCGTACGTTTGCTGGATTAGTTGTGCTTTTTTCTGTCCAATATACAGTACTTCTCCTGCCTATTGGTTTCTCACCGTTTACTTTTCGCTTCCCTGCTTTCTCTCTTTGACCTTGTTTCACTCTGACTTTAGCTTGTTTTGTGTCCCCCCCCCACCAGCCCCCTGTTGGCCCCGCCTCCCACCCGATGGCTCCGCCCAGTCCCGGGACCAACAGCAGCACCAATCACAGCAGCAGCAGCAGCACGGCCGGCTGGGAGCAGCTCAGTAAAACTAACCTCTACATTCGTGGGTTACCGCCAAACACCACCGACCATGACCTGGTCAAGCTCTGTCAGCCGTGAGTACCACCCTAACTTTCATTTCTGGAGATATTACCTGCAAAACGTAGCCTGGCTAATGTCAGACTACGTCTCATTGAGATTGAGACGTGGTCTGGGAACCACATGTTCATTTTCTCGTATTTGAGGCGTGGTTTACGAATGCCCAGAGCCGTTTATTGTGTGCTACGAATGTCTATCAAATGCGCCTGTACGTAGCTCATAGCCAATCGTTTCAATCATACCAGATGACGTATGTAGAGCGACAGAAATTAGACGATGGGTCAGAGATTTATGTGTACACGATGGCGTATGTATCTAAGGCTGCATCGAAAGGTAACTTCGCGTCTCCTGCCATGTTTGATCCATAGGTATAAACAAACCGCTTCGGTGTGTCGCATAGACGCCATCATCGTCTTGCTGCTCTCCCCGTTCTGTGATTGGTCCCCTCGCTGAGGCGAAAATTTGGTATCCAGAATGCCTAGCAGCGTGGATAAAATCGCGCTGCGCAAAGGCAGCATGGGGAAACCCAGGCTATGCAAAACGCAGACAAATATCAGGATTAGGGCTGCACTGTAATGGTAACTAGATTATTAGTCACGATTATTGTCATTTTAGAAATGTATTCTAATTAAAGGGATAGTTCACCCAAAAATGAAAATCACCCCATGATTTACTCACTCTCAAGCCATCCTAGGTATGTATGACATTGTTTTTTCAGACAAATACAATCGGAGTTATATTAAAAAAATGTCCTGGCTAATCCAAGCTTTATAATGGGAGTGAATGGCTGGGGAAAATTTGAAGCCCAAAAAAGTGCATCCATCCATTATAAAAATACTCCACACGGCTCCGGGGGGGGGGGGTTAATAAAGGCCTTCTGAAGCGAAGCCATGTGCTTTTGTAAGAAAAATACCCATATTATAACTTTATAATCTAAAATAACTAGCTTCCGCCAGACGACTTTTTCACCAGCCATTCACTCCCATTATAAAGCTTGGAGAGATATAACAGTAATTTTCATTTTTGGGTGAACTCTCCCTTTAAGCACAAATCACAAGAACGTAAACTCGCATGGTTTATTTTACCTCATATAGTTTCATGTAATGCATGCCTCACAAATTAACACTTTTTACCTCTTTACCAGTGGTCAAATATCACCTGATTCTGATTAATTAATCGAGGGAATCAGAAATCGTGATCACGATTAAAAAAAGATTTAGAGTGCAACCCAAATCAGAATTTTTTTTTTAAGCTACTGTTATCATACAGCCCTCGCTTAAGAGTACCGAAAGACTTAATGATTTAGGAAACCACTTTGAGAGTTGTTTTATTAGCTGTAGTAGAAGATAAGATGAACAGTGTGGCCTCCAGCGCCCCAGTTTGTCCGCATGTGTCTCGTTAAGCCCAGTTCCACGGCGAGACGGCAGCTCCTCCAAATGAAGATCGATTACTGTGGCCGATGAATCAACAATCCAATCGCTGCTTTACAGGGTCATATTTGTAGTCCATTCCCAGTTCTTTTTGAAACAATGTGCAGTTTTTGCTTGATGAATGAATGCTTCAATGTGGTCGAATGGCTCTGAGGTCAGTCTATTGATCAGAGATTGTCCGTTCATAAACGGAGGCAGATTATTGAGACGTACAGAGATCTGAGGACTGTTTCACACTCGATGCAAGTCAGCAGCATCTTTGGCATGAAGTCGATTATCACAAAAAAATATTTTGACTCAGTTTTTGTGGGGAGTTTTTAAATAAAAGGGACAATTTGTGGCTACAGCGAGACAGATGGAGCAATATTTCCATTGTAAAAGCAGAATTGTGGAGCTTGTGTTTGTTATTAAAGCACTTATGTGAATGATTCCTGTATATTACTTGACAATTAAATCATCTTTATGAAGTGGGACTAAGTTTTTACTGATTAATGATGTAATACGTCGTCAAGTTTGCACTAAAGTCACCGCCATTAGCTATGCGCGTTTGACGTTGAAAACATTGGATTAGACTTAACGCAGGCAAGATAATTAAATGATTCTCTCACACTAGTATAAGCCTTATTTCTTCTTTTGAAACTGTGTATTATTTTCTAAGGATGCACAATGTATCAGAATCATATTGATTATCGGCTAATATTCAAGAATAGTTAAAAATTATATCTATATTCTACATATATTGGATGTTTTCCAATAGTTCATTTCGCCTATTTTTATATGTAGATCACATATGCAATCATCCAATATTCACTTACAGATTATGTTTAAGTTTCTAAAAACGATACCATTATTGTCTGTGCAAACTATAAAAACGTGAATTTGTGAAAATGGTGATGTCATGCGCATGCGTATTTCACGTTCAGTCTAATAGTGTTTCTTTACAAAGTGACATCGCGTTTTTAGTCGTTTTTGCAGATCCGTGTGAACGGGGATCGTTTTGACAACGTTGTGGTCTGTACGTGAAAAACTTTGTTTTAGTACATCGTTGTCACGTAAACGCACCCTTAATTGAAAAACATTTAATTATATTAATAATTTAATAAAACTGTTAAATGTAATTTCTATCAAATCTAAAAATTAAACGTTTGTGATTCATGGATTCACTTGTTGCATTTAAAACAATTGATTTTCAGCGTTTTATTTAATTTATTTACATTTATTAATCTATTTATAAGTTGAATTTGAATATGGTCCTTTGATTCATTTCTGGCCATAAAATTAAAACAACTATCGACTTATTTGTATTGGCTGGAATTGGAATATTTGTGCATATCTAGTATTTTTGAATTTCTATTTCTTGTGTTTTAATGCTTTTTTTTATAAACTGAGGAATTATGCTACAAATAATTATGCCATAAATTCGGTCGATTAATGGTTTATTCAACGGTGCTGGATAAAGAAAGAGTCATTGCTCGGCTCTGGGGTCTTAGTATTATAATCTCACACAGCCTGGCACTGCGGCCCAATGAACTCTCATATTTCGGTCACTCTGTGTCAAGGGCTGGAGGGTGACTTTCCCCTCTAAGAGGTCTGGGATGAATGCCATCAATAAAATATGAGGCATATGCTGTGTCGCTTTGAGTCTATTGGATGATTTGATGTGAGTTTCGAGCAGAATCACAGGACCGGTCCTCAGAGGACTCCTGTGAGTGAAGGCGCTAAGAAGACTGACAGATAGACCATACTGCATTGCTGCAGAGAGAAATGCAGTGTTGTTGGTGCGTCTAAGTTAGGGTGAGTGGGATGACCAAATGGTAATTAATTATATATCACCCAGTCATTTTTGCTGAGCATTCAACACAAAAGTATACTAAATAACCATGTTTGGGAAGACTTAAAGGATAGTCAATTGAATTGAATCATTGTATTTTCATTTTTATTTGAGTTTTGATTGGATTTGAAGTTGGGCCAGAAATTGACATGGGATTGGGGCAAAAATGCAAACAAAATGGCCACCAAATTCAAGATAAGTGGACAAAAAAGCCAGCTTTGCTGTGTATAGATAGCTATTGTTGATGCTAATAAAATTTATTGGTAACAATCTTTAAGTAATTGGTTAAATTTAAGTATTTGGCATACATAGCCAATTCCCTTACCAAGGTCAAAAAATGCCCTTAATTCTAGTTGGCAAATATTGCACCTTAATGGAAAAGTTCATTTCTGACCCTCCTTTACATTATAAAACATTTGAGTTGAAAAAAATAAATGCTTAAAACTATAAAAATCATATTATAGAACATAGTTCAGTTTTGAAGCAAATCATTTGGCTTCTATATTAATGCGGCACGTTCCAACCATGAATATCTAACCTTTTGATTTATTTAGGACACATCCCGCTGTGAATTTTTGCAGTACTCTGTGTTTGTTCTTAGCTGTCACACGTGAATCAGTCCTGTCCACTGATGGTGCTGTAAAAGGGTGTAGAAACGTATATAGTTTGCTCCAACCCCAAGAACAAGCGCAACATCTTTAGAGGTGTATAGTTTCAAAGGAGCACAAGGTTTGTTTTGCTGCATCACTAGCAGAAGCAGAGCACAGAATGATCCTGTTACTGGATCTCGGATGGTGACTGGATGAAAGACCACTGATGTGACTTTGAAGTCTCATTTTCCTCCTCTGAGCCCTTCATCAAACTTCCTCCCACTCTATACACACACACACACACACACACACACACACACACATCAACGAACATCGACTTTGTAACACATTGCCCTTTGTGTTTGCTAATTAGAAGATCTCATTACTCAGGACCAGAAGCAGGACTCAACAATATAACCTTTTTTCTTTTCTTTTTTTCCTTTTATGGCCAGATATTTGCACTGGCCAAGAATTTAATTGTATGTATCAAAAATAAATTGTATGCATCATAAATATATATATATACATATATACACTCACCTAAAGGATTATTAGGAACACCAGACTAATACTGTGTTTGACCCCCTTTCGCCTTCAGAACTGCCTTAATTCTACGTGGCATTGATTCAACAAGGTGCTGAAAGCATTCTTTAGAAATGTTGGCCCATATTGATAGGATAGCATCTTGCAGTTGATGGAGATTTGTGGGATGCACATCCAGGGCACGAAGCTCCCGTTCCACCACATCCCAAAGATGCTCTATTGGGTTGAGATCTGGAGACTGTGGGGCCATTTTAGTACAGTGAACTCATTGTCATGTTCAAGAAACCAATTTGAAATGATTCGAGCTTTGTGACATGGTGCATTATCCTGCTGGAAGTAGCCATCAGAGGATGGGTACATGGTGGCTATAAAGGGATGGACATAGTCAGAAACAATGCTCAGGTAGGCCGTGGCATTTAAACGATGCCTAATTGGCACTAAGGGGCATAAAGTGTGCCAAGAAAACATCCCCCACACCATTACACCACCACCACCAGCCTGCACAGTGGTAACAAGGCATGATGGATCCATGTTCTCATTCTGTTTACGCCAAATTCTGACTCTACCATCTGAATGTCTCAACAGAAATCGAGACTCATCAGACCAGGCAACATTTTTCCAGT